AAACCATCAAGAACGCGGGGCCTCTACCTCGCATTGACGATTTGCTTGAGCGGTTGGGCGGCGCCAAGTACTTTTCGAAGTTGGACCTCAAGTCGGGCTACCATCAGATTTCCATCCGCCCGCAAGATCGGTACAAAACCGCGTTTAAGACGCGATATGGGCATTTTGAGTGGGTAGTTATGCCTTTCGGCCTCACCAATGCCCCGACCACCTTTCAGGCGGCCATGACCACCGAGTTTTGCGCTACGTTGGACCGCTTCGTCTTGGTCTACTTAGACGACATCCTCGTCTATAGCCGAACTCTCGAGGAGCATCTCGAGCACCTTCATCGTGTTCTAGAGACTCTTCGGTCAGCCCGGTACAAAGCTAACCGCGACAAATGTGAGTTTGTCCGGCAAAAGCTTGAATACTTGGGCCATTTTGTCTCTCCGGAAGGCATTCGTCCGTTGGCAGACAAGATTCAAGCCATCCAGGAGTGGCCCAAGCCGAAGAATGTGACGGACGTCCAATTCTTCCTCGGCTTGGCCGGTTATTATCAGCGCTTCATCAAGGGTTACTCGAAGATCGCGGCCAACCTAAGCAAGTTACAAAGCGAGGAGCAGCCTTTTGACTTCGATGACGACGCGCGCCATTCTTTTGAGACACTCAAAGTGGCACTTTTGTCCGCCGAGGTGTTACATATTTACGACCCGCTTSTAGCTACGCGCGTCACTACCGATGCATCGGGCTATGGCATTGGGGCCGTCCTTGAGCAGCACGATGGCACGGACTGGCACCCGGTCGAGTACTTCAGCAAGAAAGTACCTCCCGTGCATTCGATCGACGACGCACGGAAGAAGGAGCTTCTTGCCTTCGTCCACGCCCTCAAGCGTTGGCAACATTTCCTCCTTGGTCGGAAAGCATTCCGATGGGTAACGGATAACAATCCGTTGGTATTCTACAAGTCGCAAGACACGATTAACAGTACCATTGCCCGTTGGATGGCTTTCATCGACTAGTTTGACTTTTTCCCCGATCACATTCCCGGGAAGTCAAACCGTTTTGCGGACGACGTCTCACGGCGACCGGATCTTTGCACCGCAGTCTACTCTACCTTCGAGATCGACGACGACTTGCGGGAGAGCTTCATCCGCGGCTATCAAGCCGACCCCCACTTTTGCGACAAGTACGCGAATTGCTCCTCTCCGAATCCGGTGCCTTCGCATTATCGGATCCAAGAGGGCTACTTACTTGTGCATTCACGGGGTAAGGATCTTCTTTGTGTGCCGAGTGATTCACACTTGCACACACGGCTTCTTGGCGAGTTTCACGATGCGCCCGCCTCCGGACTTTTTGGTGTCAACCGTACACTTGGCCGACTTCGCCAGCAGTTCTATTGGCCCGACCTTCTCAAGGACGCCACCCGCTATTGTGAGTCGTGCGAAGTCTGTCGGCGTTGCAAGTCACGCAACCATCGTCCGTTCGGTGAGCTACACCCACTACTAGTGCCCCCTGGGCGACGGGAAGCAATTGCTATGGATATCACCGGCCCCTTCCCGAAGCACAAGACCGGCGTTGATGGGATCCTCACGGTCGTCGACCGAATCACCAAGTACGCCATGTTTTTGCCTTGCCGCTATCACGCAAAGGCACCGGAGTTAGCCGAGGTCTTCTACAACGGTTGGATTTGCTCCAAGGGCTACCCCAAGGAGATCGTTTGCGACCGGGACACTCGCTTTTTCTCCGACTTTTNAATTATTTGATTATTTTTTTCCCCAGAAATTATTTCTTTTTCCGAGAATTTTTTTTTCCGAGAAATTATTTCTTTTTCCGAGAAAGTTCTTTCCGAGAAATTATTTCTTTTTCCGAGAATTTTTTTTTTCCGAGAATTTTTTTTTTCCGAGAATTTTTTTTTTCCGAGAATTTTTTTTTTCCGAGAATTTTTTTTTTTCCGAGAATTTTTTTTTCCGAGAAATTATTTCTTTCTCCGAGAAAATTCCTTCCGAGCGATTATTTCTTTTTCCGAGTTTTTTTTTTTCCGAGAAATTATTTCTTTTTCCGAGAAAGTTCTTTCCGAGAAATTATTTCTTTTTCCGATTTTTTTTATTTTTTTTTTTGCCGAGAAATTATATTTTTTTCTTTTTTGAGGAAATTCTTTGAGAAATTATTATTCTTTTCCGCGAAATGTTGTTTCCAAGAATTTTTTTTCGTTCTGAGAATTCCTTTTCCGAATTTTTTTACCTTGCTTAATTGTTAAATGTCTGCATTTTGATAATTTTGTGATTCTTTTTTTTTTCGAAACTGTCCCTCTACACTTTCACTGCGTAGGTCTGCAAATTCCGTTCTTTTTTTTCAAAAAAAAAAACGGCATTTTTTTTTCTTTTTTGCAACCTACTCCTACTCTGAGTTTGTAAAGATACTTCTTTTCTGATTTTCTGCAGTTTGAGAACCGAAGGTTCACAATTGCTTTCTGCATCACCTTCGGCACTCAGTGGGATTGGACAATCTTTCTTTTCGAATTTTGCTTTATTCAAAATTATTATTATTTTTTTCCCTTTTTTGATTAGGAAACTATTCAATTTTGGATCTGTCCGATCCTTCCCACCTGTCCGCTGCCTACCTGTTCCTCCCCCCCCCCCCAGTCCGGGTACCGGGCCAGTCCATCAGATTGGCCCTCGGAGGACTCTTCAGACTTCGGGCACAGCAGTGCATGACACTGCTCACTCGATCACAGACCAAGGCCATGGACCGGAAGGCGGGAGAATCCCTCCTGGCCTATGAGGAACGCCAGGCGGCATTCATTCAGGAGGCCAACGATAGGGCTGCCGCCGCGGCCAAGGAACGTAATCGGCTTGAACAAGAGGAGGAGGCCAAGCGACAGAAGGAGGAACAGGACCGACTTCGTCAAGAAGAGGCAGACCTGCAGGCGGCAGCCGAACACCGGTCACGCCAGCGGGAACGACTGTTCACGCGGGAGACCGTGATCGGCGATGAGGCCGCACATTGGGTGGAAGTGACATCTACAGACGGCGCCCCGGAGACTGAGAAAGGGCTGTCAGCCCTTGCGCAGGTCTCCCACGACCTCGTGGCCACCTRCGCTCTGCAGGAGGAGGAAATCCTTCACCTGCAGCAGACAGTGGACCAGATGCTCGCACGGCTGCAGGCGTTGGAGAAACAGCCAGCTGCTGTAGCAGCCKCMGGGCCTTCCAMCCTTACCACCMGTGTGCAAGTTTTGGAGGATGACGTCAGCAACATCAAGCGTGTGCATCAGGACTTCCGGACGTCACAGCAAGCAACGAACTTGCAGTTGGAGACGCAGGTCCAGGCTGCTGCCACCGTGACGCCCGCCGCACCATGTCCCGAACAACGATCGACATCCGTGCTTGCACCACCGATCTGGTGGTGCGTGTCAAGCATGGTTGGACAACATCTTGACCAGCCACGGCGTAGCAGTGTCRGAACTGCRCACCAAGCTCACTTGGCAGGAGTTGACCGACGCCTGGCACAAGCGATTCCAAGTGGAGCCGCCCGACCTGCAAGCGATGGACAAGCTCAACAAGCTCCATCAGAACACGCTGCTCAGTCAGGACTGGATTACCGAGTTCCAAAGACTCGCCTCCACACCTGACCTGCCGCTCGCATTCCGCGCCATCAAGCACTTGTTTATCATGCGCTCGTGTCCAGCTCTGCAAAACGCGCTGACGCAGATTGAAGAGACACTCGACACATCTGACAAGCTTTTCAGCACAGCGTCACGGATCATTCTCACGAATATCGAAGCCCGCAACGCCGGCTGATCTTCCGCGACGACGAGCGACATCCAGCCCAAGCCAAAGGTGGCTTGCATTACTTCTACCGAGGCTGCAACACCAAACGAGGGTGAAGTGTTGGCAGCTGCCCGGGATGGTGGCCGGTCGTGCAACAATCACGACCGCGACAAGACGAAGACTCAGTCCACCTCTACACCGAGCACCGGATCAGCCGCCAACGAACCTTGGGCACAATACAGACTCTCGGCGAATTCTTATCGCACGAGACTCAAGTACCGTTACTGCCTTTGGTGCAACAGCACCATCCACGATGCTGCACATTGCCCCACCAAGGGGAAACCCCGTCAGGGAAAGTAGGCGCCGCCGAGGGTGACTCGACACCTCCCTCGACGCCATCGGAAGCGGTTGTGTGCACGACCGCCCTTTCTTCCGAGGCATATGCGGATGTCGGGAGTCTTCCACTTTCGTTCGAAGACTTCGCTGCCCGGCTCGTTCCTTCACTGGATGCYTCTCAAGGACAAGATACATGTGCGGCTTTCTCACCGTCCGAAGGTTCTTCCGCCGGTTCGTCTTCATCAAGGGATTCGGCAAGCGTGTTCAACGAGGAGGCTTTGGACCCGCTCACGCCGGAGGACTTCGCTTGGATTCCTCTCCCTACGACGGGCAACCTTCCGGGACTGCAAAGCGCAGCCCTATGCGCCCTCTTACACGAGTATCTTTCCTTCCATGCACCACCAACTTCGCCGACGGTAAACGAAGTCGCAGTGGGGGACATGCTTGGCTACGTTGCCAAGGTGGCCCGCGAGTTTGTCTCGCAACGGTACGGAGAAAACAACGCACCGTTGCTCTACGTTCGCATTCAGATTGGGCAAGCGGCCTGCAACGCTTTGCCAGATTGCGGCGCAACTCGCAACTTCATCAGCCAGTCCTTCATGACTCGGGCTGGCCTTGGCGCACAAGTACGGAGGAAGTCACATCCGACGACGGTCGCTCTTGCCGACGGTAAGGCGAAACAACTTTTAGACCGTTACATCTCAGCTGTCCCGGTGTAATTTGCACCGCACGCATGTGAACCCGTCACTTTTGACGTGTTGGACACCGACTTTGATGTCATTTTGGGGATGCCTTGGCTTTCTAGCGCGGACCACACGGTCAATTTCCATCGACGCACGCTCACGATTCGTGATGCAACTGGCGCCGAGGTCCCGTGTACTATTCCTCCTCCTCGCTCTTCCATTCGGTGCCAAGTCGTGAGTGCCAAATCTTTTCGAGACACATGCCGTTCCGAGCATGTCGAAGAGATTGGCATCGCTTTTCTTCGAACCGTCCCGACGAGCGATTCATCGTCCACAGATGTGTCTTCCGACCCCCGTGTGATCCGGTTGTTAGACGAGTTCTCGGATGTTTTTGAGACACCCTCCGGTCCGGCACTATACCGGAGGGTGTCTCAAAAACATCCGAGAACTCGTCTAACAACCGGGTATAGTGCCGGACCAGCCAATCTCTCACGAGATCATACTTGAGGCCGGCACTATACATCGGTGCCGGACCAGCCAATCTCTCACGAGATCATACTTGAGGCCGGCGCCGATGCATTTACCGCATGTCCGAGGAGGAGCTCACGGTTCTCCGTGCGCAACTCGACGATCTACTTGACAAGGGTTGGATCC